TGAAAGTGTAGCAGCTGCATCCTTGAAAACAGATGCTCTTCTGGGTGTGAATGAGTCCAATTCTGACTAATTTTAAGACCTAAACAGATTTCAGTCTGGTTAATATTGGACTGTGTAACCACTTGAGAGATCCTAATGCCCTCAGCTGATTGCTTCTCAATGACAGTTAGTGTGTTGGCTTTCCTTGAGAGATGCAGGGTATTTGACATGCCAAGGATTTTATATCAATAGGGAAAAGGGAGCACTAATTCTCTATTGTAGCAAGCTGGACTGACTAGTTCTAAAAATGAAAAGGCTTCAAGAGGCAACACTGCCTATAGGGAAAATTCATGAGCTGTAGGAGTTAACTAAAATTGTAGTAAGCTTTATTTCTGTAAGATTCCCAAACAGCACAGAAAATAGGCTATAGCAAATGACTTCCCCTTTCTCACTCTCTTCCAATATTGTACCCAGAAAACTGAGAAAGAAAACATAGTAGATGGTGAGTTGGTCTTTCTTTTTCTGATCTTTACAATCAGTTATTATGTGTGTTCTTTGTTGTGTTACACGTGTAGTCAATAAAAATCACCAGATCAGTTTAACTAGGAGAGCATTATTGAATTATATAATGCCTCCAGTTATTTTCCTGGCTTCAGTTGAGGAAAATACGATTCTTGCCCAGAAGGAATTAGTGATATGTTTGAGAGACATACTGATAATAAACAGTCAATGAATGGGATATGATAAGTGCTCTACTAGATTTGAATGGAAAAAATATATAGACAAGTCACTGGCCCTACCCTAGGACAAATGAGTAATTTTGAAAAAAGCCATAAAAACCATCACAAGTATTGAATAATAGAAAATCATGATAGAATTAAGAGATTTGCTTTAAAGTGTTGAGGTCAAAGTTAAGGTTTGGGGAACAGATGTGCTAAAGAAGAAGAGAAAATAGGGTGCATTTGAGAAAAACTGGAATGTTTTAGAGATAAATCATAGCGAGCTGGTGGTCCAGCTGATTGGTGGAACATGTGCCTGCAAAGCTCTGGGCTTGATCCACAGTCCTGAAAAGACGACAGCCATGGTAAGCTTAGCTACGGGACCCATGCTTGGTCATACGAGCACTGGAAAATGTTGTCATGAAAATGTTGTGATCACCCATGCTCATGTTCTAGATGATTAGCTCTGTCTACTTCATGTCTTGTTAGATTTGAAAGGTCAAGCGAGAAGCAGAAGCATGAGTCAGAAGATTCATGGAAGAGAAGGCTAAACCAAGGAAGTACATTTGATGAAGAAGAGAAAATAAATATTATGAAACTATTTGCCAACTAGAATAAGCCAAAATTGGCCTTTAGTGGAAAAGAAAAAGTCAAAGATTATAAAGTGTAGATTTCACTGGTAGGAAGGCACTTCAAATAAATTTTACAAGGACCAATAATACTTTAGTTTTGAGATGCATATGGGATATAGACAGGTAGAAAGGTTTTTGTAGAGTTAATGAAATGAAGTTTTAAGGCAATGAATTAATGAAGTCATAAGTAATAGAAATGTCAAAAATAGATAAGCTCACCCACACTTTATGGAAATAAGGGAGACTAATCGATCCAAAAAGATCTCAGGCAAATGTTGCAGTTACAGGTAGGCTGAGGAAAAGGATGCAGCAATGGGAATCTCAGAGAGACTCGAGAGTGTTCAGGAGATGATGTGATATCAGCCAAAGCAGATGTCATTTCAAGAAGTAAGTGGCCAGTGATGCTTTATGTGGCAGAAAGATCATATGGCATTAGCAATGAAAAATATCTTGTGGATTTGGAAATTTGAATTTTATAGATCAATATCAGAATAATTTTTAATAAAGTAGTGTAAGTAGAAATCAGATCGTGGTATACTAAGGAGTTAGTAGGAGGCAGGACTATAGAGAAAGTAACTGTTGAGGGTTCTCTCAAATGCTCAGCAAGATTCTGAGATCTTATGAGAGAGTAATAAGGGCTAGAGCAGAGTGACCTAAGTGTGGAAGTTACTGATAAAGGGTAACTAAGAAAACAAACTGAGAGTGGTGTGGGAAGTATTTTAATTTAAAAACTGTATATAATATATTTTGATCACCTTTTTCCTCTCCTCCATCTCCTCCTATGTTGTCCCCACCTCCCCTACCTACCCTACTTTATGTTCTCTCTCTGAGTGTTTCAAAGTTGCTCACTCTTCTGAACAGCATTATGGACTCTGTGTTAGTTTCTGTTTACAGCAAGGAGAAGGTTCTCTGTTGAAGGCTGGGTGAGGCACTGGTCTATGGTATAGCACGCTGTCATTCGAAGTCATTTTATTTTACTTATTTTATTATTTTATTTTATTCTATTTTACAGAATAAGAGCATTAGATTTTCTTCTAAGCCCATGACCTATCTAGTCACAGGTTCTTAGCCCTGTTAGAGTGTCAGATATGGATTCTATCTCATGAAGTGGGCCTTAAATCCAATTTTAAAAAGTGGTTGATTTCTGCCAGAATGCCTGTGTTGCTGCAAGTATACCTTGCAGCCAGGCCATTGCTGTAGGTTGCAGGGTTTGTGGCTGGCTGATGCTGATGATTACTGTTCTTTTCCAGGAGCAAGCAGAGTACCTTCCAGCACCATGAGCTCTTGTCTGTAGGGGTGATGCTTCTAGTGGATACCTTCTCCACTTCTCAATAAGGCCCTACCATCAGCTTGTGGGAAACTTTTTTGAGATGAGAATCAAGACCTTCCTATTGGCAGTGATCTGCTCTTCAGTTTTTCTTTTGTTTTTCTGTCAGTGGATTGTAAAACTGGCCCCAGGCTAGAGAGAACCTTAAAGCAGTTAGAACAAAAAATGAGGAACTCAAGGGAATTGCTTTTTCTGGTGAAAGCATGACACAAAGGCCTCAGCTCTGTAATCCATGTTGAGGGCCTTCAAAGGGGAAAGATGGGGAATTTCAGATTTAAAGCAAACAAGTAAGTAGAGGAGAGGGCCAAGAGAAGAAAAGCTTGTGAGCTGGTTATGATGTTAGGACTGTACCTTTTTCAGGAGCTGCACACAGACCTTGCTCACCAGCTAGTTATTATTCTTTGCATTTCCAGGGCTTTAAGGGGATGTTAGTTTTCCTGATAGAGCAGTAAGCCTGAAGTTGGCAGGGCTGGTGCTGGCCAATAGTTAAACAGTAAGACTGGCTCTTACCTGATTCTTGTCCTTTAATTCCCAAATCAGGAAAAGGAGGAGTGGGGAAGAGAGGAGTGGTACCAGCCTTAGCCCATTCTTTTATCAAAAAAATTAGTAGGTCTCTGGGGGCTCCACAAAACTGTGTGCCCACTTCTTTATACAACCCCAGGGCTAAAAATAGTGTACATTTTGTATACTAGAGTGAAGATGGGAGATGAAATTGCCCTGTTCATTGTCTCAGCAAAAAAGCTATTTCTGTTTGAGAGCACAGGTTCATCCTCTTCCATTAGACCAATGGGTTTGATAGAGAAAGCCCCAGCTACCTCAGCGTGAGGGTAAGCTAAGGCTCTTAAAAGAGGCATGCTTATATCTAGAGGTCACATTATGAATAATCAGATATCAACCTTTCCCAGGGTTAGAACAGCTGCTCGAAGTGTATGTCTTAAAGAGGTGATCAATTACTAACATTTTAAAAGTTCAGTATACACGAGGCTGTGGCAGAATGAAGAGCAGCCTCTAAGACAGATGCATACATAATCACTTATCCTCTAGAAGATTATGTACAAAGGTGTGGGGGGTTGTAGTATGGGAATTTTGTGGTATGTGTGTGTGTCCAACAATCTCATTTCCTGCCTATAAACAGAATGTATCAACACTGTCACTTAGCATTTAAGAGCAAGTGAATTGTTCTATGCCGTCTTCGCCATGCTCAGCATTTCTTTGTTCAATAGATTCATTCTTATTTAAGCAATCTTTGTAAAGCTCAGGAAGCCCTCAGGAATTTACAAGCAAGCATTTCAGGAAAGTTCTAGGTATAAGTTATCATGTTACTTTAATATCATGTCGTAGTTTTGCTGTACCTTACAGTCGGATTAAATGTACAGCTTTCCTTTATTCACACTGTTCCGACCATGGCCATTGAAAGCTTTACTTGGCAGCTGAACCTGCCGTTGCTTATTCTATTTTGGGTCTTGGTTTTGTTGTATTTATTTTGTTGCTTGTTTTTCATAGTTTGGAAGTGGTCAGTTTATACATGGTGAAATTGTTTATATAATAATAATTTAAATATAATAATTTCCAGCTTTTTAATGGGTTCTACCCAAAATATTTTTATAGTGTTTGGCCAAGTTATGATATGTTGGGGCTTGAGACCATGAATACAAGGTCAGTGTAATCTCTGCCTCTTCTCATTGATGCATATAGATAGTTCTGTGGACCAGAGTTTCTGTCACAGGGGAAAGGAATTCAAAGCCTTAAAAGCTCTAAAGTGCTTTGAAATATTATAATAATGTTACTTAAAGTTGCTTTCATCTAGCCTGCCACATGAAACATTATGATGGCAGTGATGTTGCCTTGCCATAAAACAACATGAATAATATCATTTGAGAGGAAATGCAGTGTTTTCTGTCCACTCTCCAGCAGATTGAGTTTGTGCACAGCTAGGATAGTGCTGTTCACTAATAGAAAGTATTAGAATTTTAAATCTACTTCACTATAGTCTACTCCTCCTTACAGGTCAGTCCTCAGTGGGTAGTGTACCCTGACAACCTCTGTTTGATCCCTAAAACCCATGATTAAAGAAGAGAATGAACTCTCCAAAGTTTGCTTTTGACCACCACACACACTATGACACACAGACACATGTATTGATACTCACACACAGCATACACCTACAGCAATAATAAAAATAATAAAAAGTAAAATAAATTTTAAAGTAAAAATAGAGTCTAGCATTATCTTCAACTTATAGTGTTGCCAAAGTAGTAAAGACAACCAGAGGAATACGTAATATACATTCCAGGAAAACCTGTAGGAATCTAATGATTCCTTTTGTCTTCTCCTTTTTTCCAGTGCTTTCTCCTGCTCAAGAGAGCCACATGAACATGGACCTTCCCCCAGTGTCTGAACAGATCATGCAGACACTGAGTGAGCTTGCCAAGTCCTTCCAAGATATGGCCGACCGCTGCCTGCTTGTCTTGCATCTGGAAGTGAGGTAGGACCCAACTAAGCACAGGAAATTATAGTGTCGGAGCCCACTGTGATAAGCGTGCTGTATCTGGGGGCATGGAGTTTCACCTTAATTTTCAGTTTTTAACTGTTGATGTTGTCTGATTCTTATGGTGAGCATGATGTTGAGTAGTATTCAGTGTTCTCAGAGGATGTGAGCATTTGTTGGACTGTGAGTGTGGCCAATCAAGGGCCTATAATGCAACCTGGATTTGTACATGCACACCTACCATGTGGGTGATCTGAGTGTAAGCTAGCTGGTTAGTTTTACAAAGGTTCAGTTTCCTCTTAAAATGAAAACAGGAGTTCCCTTAAATGTTCCTACTTTAGATTAAGGAAATCTTGAATAATATGCACCATGTCCGTAATGTATTAAGTCAAAATATGTTGACTATGATCATTGATAGTTTTGTAAATCATAAAGGACATTATATCCAAGAGCCAAAAGCCTCCTTCAATGAACTTAAAACCAAATTAAGGAGATTAAGAAAAGGGTTTCAAGGATGCCTTGTTCCTTGTCCTGCAGCAGGAAGACACTGGCCATGCAGATGCTTATAATACAGTTGGAAACAAGAAGAAGAACCAGAACATCTTTTATCCATTCATCTGTTGAGCAGTTTAGCAGGTGTCTTCTTTGTACCAGGCAGTGCTCTAAGCATTGTGATACAGCAATGAACAAAACATTGCAGGTTCCTGCATCTCTAATGGTGCTGCCAGCCAGTCATGGATTAGGCAAAAAAGATACTTTCAGATAATCATAGCTAAAGCAATAAAACAATATAATGAGAGGCCAGCAATGGCTCAGAGGGTTAAGCCACTTGCTACCAAGTCTGATGACCTGAGTACAATCCTCAGAACCCACATGGTGGAAGGAGAGAACTGAATCTCAAAAGTTACTGTCTGACCTCCTGCTTGTTAGCTCATTGGTGTGCTCACACAAATAAATTAAATAACAATATCCTGGTTATTATTATTTATATAGCATGAACTGGAAATGCAAGCTACACAGATCATATAAAGTTGCTCGTTACAGACTGAATATCATTAATCCAGAAATTCAAACCTGAAACTTCTCTTTAGAATTGAGAACATTTCAGATGCTTGGCCAGTAATTCTGTGCATGTATTCTGAAACTCAAAAACTTTTGATCCCAAGTACTTTTGATAAGGGATGCTCTAAGCAGGTAAAAATAAAATATAATTTGTTTAACCCAATATATATAATATATGCACATATATAATATATATTATATAATATATACTAATAATATATTATTGTGTTGACACAAGGTTAACATAAAAACAATGAGTGACTTTTCATTTTCTGTGGTAAGCCTTGGCATCTTCATATTTTATGAGAATGCATCATGGTGAGGACACTTCTTCTGCTCAGTAGCTACATGTAGCAAATGGATACTGGAAAATACAGAGTGTACAGGCTGACTAGAAAGGGTGATGTTTAGACAGGACATATGGCAGAGTGACAGGATCCATTCAAACAAAAGCCTAGAGGAGTTTCAGTTGGGAGCAGTGCTCAGAAGGGTCCCAAGACACAATCCAGGTCAGCTGGAGGCACAGAGAAGAGTCTCCTACATTTGCAACCAGAAGAATAAGGCAGTGTGGAAGATGAGAAAAGCAAGGTAAAAGACAGCTGGGGCCTAACTGTGGACACTTATATGCCTGAAACACTGGAGGTCTTCAAGACCAAGAGAATAGTTCCAATCATGTTCTAAGTACATTAGGAAGCTGTTGGAGAGGCATTGTATATGGAAGGGATGTTATTAATTAATATTTTTAAAACACTGATCTGGCTTTTGTATGCAAATGGGACTTCAGAGAAAGTAGGGTGACTAGTTAAGACCAGTTAGCATCAAAATAACATGGTAGAAATTTGAAAGATGTAGCACTTGGAAAATATACTAAAAGTAGAAATCCTAGAACTTAATGACAGATTGGATTAGGTTCAGGAGTTGGTAGCAATGAGAAAAAAGACTCCCAGAAACCTACCAGTTCAAAGCCTTAGAATTTGTGAATCCAAAAGCCATGAATGCCAGTAGATACATGAGGAAGAGGATAAGACGGGAGTATTATAAATTTGAGGGCAGCCTGGACTATACCTTTGTCTCTGGTCATGTCATTCTGGATGTGCCTAATCCCACCCAACTGAAGCAGGCCAGGCTGAAGGAGATCTATACCCAAGATTCCCAAGCCTGGTATGGCCTGGTACATTTCCTTCTGTGTTTTTTGGAGCAATATTAAAGTTGATTAAATAATTTGTTATTTTGAATTTTCTATAACATCTGTGTTTTAAAAGGACCAACATGAGTTTGGTTCATAGTTAAGACTTAGGAATGTATTCAGGTTCTAGTTAAAACTTGGGATGGTTTTGAGGCGTGTTTATGTCACCTCCTTTTTGTGTGGGTTGCTTTTTTGGCATTCTTCGGCTTTCCCCCAATGAACTACTTCTCTGAGGTTTGTTCGCACCCTAAGAGTGGAACAAAAGAAGTAGCATGCAGGTTTGGAATCTGTTGTTCTCAGCATTAGTCCTGAGTTTATTTCTTACATTAACTTATCCTGAATAAAGCATCTCGCTATGTGTTTTATGATTTGTTTTATGATAATTTTTTATTTGTTTTCTATTTATTTTCAAGCTGATAATGAAATAAGCAGGCATTTTTCTATGAATAGATAAATGCATTGGGCAGAGAAGAAAGCAAGAAAGACAGAAAAAAAAAACAGTAATATTCTGAGGCAGCTGTTATCCTGGGTTACAAAGCAACACAAGAAAACAGCAAATTAATTACTTTCACAACTCCTGAAATTTGTGCTATTGATTGTGCAGTCTCAGGACATGTTCTACATTCAAAATCACCAGCTCATATGTAGTTAATTCCAGGCAGTATGTTTTCAGCACGTTTGAGAAAGATCTTTGAAATCCTTAACCTTTGTCGTGTCCTCTTTATTGTTTGTACTTCTTACCAATGCTATTCTTACAGTGCCAAACATGATTTGTCAACCTCATAGGAATCACACAATTGTAATATTCATTTCCATGCCTCCTTCAGTATTAATTCAAAATCAGGAAAGGATAACTTCAGCCTGAATTTTAGTCCTCTAGATACAGAATTATTTTTCCTTTGCTTTGGGAACACTAAACAGTTTTTTCTAAGTTTTTTTTTTTTTTCTTATAACCTGGTTCCAACATTCAGTTTGTTTTCTGTAAATATATCTCCAATTTGTCCTTATTCTTAGTGTGTGGTTCACAAAACAAACAGACTTCTCCATGTATGGCTGAGATGGTGAATGTTGACACTATTCTGTCTTATAACCCTGCCAGTGAGGTGGAGTGAGCACTGGCGAGGATACAGAATAAACAAAACAGTTGTTATGCTAATCATCACATTGTAGGGTATTAGTATTGTACCAGAAGCAACTGCCTGCTACTTTGGGGACTCAGGGTACAAGGCTATAGAAGAGACCACTCACTCTTCTGGTGTATCTGTTCATATTTATAAATGGCCCCAGATATCAAACTGGTTATATTGCATGAATGATTTCCTGAGCACAGGGGTCTTTCCTGAGACTGCTATTCTAACCAAGGACTATGCATGGAGATAACCTAAGACCCCTGCACAGATGTAGCCCATGGCAGTTCAGTATCCAAGTGGGTTCCATTGTAATAGGAACAGGGACTGTCTCTGACATGAACTGATTGGCCTGCTCTTTAATTTCCTCCCCCTGAGGGGGAAGCAGCATTACCAGGCCACAGAAGAAGACAATGCAGCCACTCCTGATGAGACCTAATTGACTAGGATCAGAAGGAAGGAAAAGAAGTCCTCCCCTATCTGTGGACTTGGGGAGGGGCATGCATGCAGAGGGTGGAGGAAGGGAGGGATTGGGATGGGAAGAGAGAGGGAACCACGGGGGGGGGGGAGGGGGGAAACAAAGTGAGTAAAGTGTAATTAATAAAGAAAAAAAATAAAATAAATAAAAATAAAAAAGCCAAAAAAAAAAAAAGAATGAGCTAGCTTTAAACCAAACCCAAATAAAAATAAGCTCTATTCTCCTAAGCAAAGCCTGTGTTCTTGAAAGCAAATGAATTGATTTATAAATTGCATTTTCACATGATAGTCCACTTGCAAGTCATGCATCTGCAAGTACAGAGGGTGTATTAATCACTTTTGTTGCAATAAAATGTCATGAACAAAAGCAACTTAAGGAAGAAAGAGTTCATTTTCTCTTGCAGTTCTAGTCTAGCATGGTGGTAAGGCATGGCAGCAGGAGCAGGAATCAAAGAGATCATGTTTCATCAATACATAGGAAACAGGAAGAGTGGTGAGGCTATAAATTCTCAAGGCCCAGTGCCAGTAACAGACTTCCTCCAGCAAGGCTCCACCCCACCTAAAGGTTCCATAACCTCCCCAAACAGCACCACTAGCTGGGAACCAAGTATTCAAATTCATGAGCCTATGTGGGATATTGCTCATTCAAACCACCACAGAGGGTGTGTGACCAACTTCATGCTTATTCTGATAATTAACTAACGCTTATTTTACCTCCATCCTGTTGTGAAAGAGAATTATAATTGAGGCCCTGTCCAGGAGCTGGCATGATGAAAAGTGATATTCTCTGGCACTTTTTAGTCATGAAAACACCACAATAATAACCAAAGAAAAACTGAAAGCCATGTGAAATATATTAATAGGTTATTATACCACCAAAAGTCCTGAATAACTTCAAATGCCAAACTTTACCTTATTTTAAGGAACCAAAATATCTTTATATCCATGGCCCATATTTTTATTTAATACTGTTAAAGTTCAAAGAAAAAGGAAAAATAAGTTCTTGAATCCTTCAGGATCTGTGTTGAAGAACTCATCCAAAGAACATTTGACGTTTTACCCCATGTCATTGTGGGTCACATTTAACCACCAAGCAGTATCTTTCCACAGTTTGAGGCAGAAGGCGGATGACACACTCCAAGAGATAAAAGACATAGTGAGACCATTAGAAGTTGTTGAGGTTTTTTTTTTCTTTTTTTCATAATTGAACTTTAGAAAAAAAAATTAGTTGCCATTTGAGTCCACAGTGCCAAAAATGTCACGTTTATCAGATGATTTCCCTTACCATCAGGAGGGTTCATCAGTGGGTTCAACAACAACTGCCTGTCACCGTTGGGATCCTAAGTGTGCACATTCTGAAAATCAACCATCCTGCTGTGCAATCAGCAGTGTTTGCAGAAAACCTTAATGCCAAAGTCAGGTGAAGGTCAGCAACAGCATACCAGAACCCAGAGAAAAATAAAACTTTATTTGAATTTGATACTCACTAGTGACATTTTTTTTTTCTGATCATTTGGGAAAAGGAAGATAGTACTTTTAGCAGAGGCTGTCTTTCCTCTCTTCTCTAGGCTATAGAACCTCAGTAAGATTAATGACCAGTGTGTTAGAATCTTCTAATAAATCTCTTCTTTGATTTGTCTCCATGTTCCACCACCAGTCTACTTTTTATTTGTGCCAATATTTTATTTTATTATTTTACTGCTTAAAGTAAAATGATAAAAAAGATGGAGAAATAGCTTGTTGATTAATAGTGGGGACAGAGGACCCAGATTCAGTTTCTAGCACCCATATCAAACAATTAAAAACTCTTGACATCTGGCTTCTTTGAGCATCTGCATTCATGTGCTTATGGACACATAATTATAAATGTTTTAATTTTTAATTAATCTGTAATCTAAGATCCCTAAACTTCTGCATAAAATCCACACTACTTAGATGGCTTCTAAAACTTAGGGTGACATTCTACAGCCCATGTTCCTAAGCTCATATCACACTCTCTGTCATGTGAACTTCACTGAGCAAAAAAGAACTGCTCACTTTTGCCCAGAGACATTGCCTGTGTACAACTTCATGCCTTTCAGCATGGTCTCTTCCTGCTGTGTGTGACTGTGTTGCCATCAGCTTAAGCCTAGTTAGGACAGATGCTGTATTTCGAGTAATTCTACTTCATTTTAACTTCTGTAAGGTGGTGATTACTTGCCCTAGTCCAGATTCCCACTCCCAGGTGGGTCACTTTTTATTCCATCAGGAAGATCACACTGTAGAGGGGTGATGACCAGAGCCTTTAGCTGCAGGTTGATCGAAACTGTTCTCTTTGCCAATTAACTCAGGAACGTCAGATTGGGCTTTTTATTGGTAGCATTACTCCTTAATTAACAGCTGGGAGGATACGCTGAAATCAGTAAAATTTAACTATAGTCATTTGATATTTGTATTTCCTTATATGAAAATTCTAAGGATATTGCTTCAGAGCACAGAGTGCTCTGTGGTGGGAGCACTGTACCAGCATGAGAACCTGAGATTGAATCTCCAAAACCCATGATAGTAAAATGGCAGCTGTGGCTATGAGTGCCCATCTATAATCGCAGCCCTGGGGATGGAGGGTAAAGATCGGGTGACCCTTGGATCTCGCTGGCTGAGTGAAGCCAGACAGCTTCCAATTCACTGCGTGTTGGAAAAGTCCAACACTCTTACTGTTTAGGAAAAAGAAAATTAGCTGGGCACAGTGGAACATGCCTGTAATCCCAGCACTCAGGGAGGCAGAGGCGGATGGATCTCTGTGAGTTAGAGGCCAGCAAAGGCTACACAGAGAAACCCTGTCTTAAAAAAAAAAAAATTAAAAACCACTATGAGATACTATAATGCATCTACATTTTGACCAAAAACAAACTCTTTTTAAGAACAGCTAGAATACTTGGCTAATAGGATGGCCAAATAGGACAGCTCATTAACACTATAGTTTGTTTCTTCCAAAATAGGAAGTACCCTAAGCCTCTGACTCAGCAAAGCCTACTTCTAAGTAATTACTCAATAGAAATGAAAGTTTATGTTTACATAAATCTAGGAGCAACTTAAGGGGGGAAATGGATTACTTCAGCTCACAGTTTGAAGAGATACAATGCTCAGAACAGGAAGGCATGGTAGCAAGAGCATGAGGTGACCGACCACACTCTATCTGCATCAGAAAGCAGTGAGAGATCAATAGCGGTACCCAGTGGTTTCCTTCTTTTCCCCATTACTCAGCCTGGAACACCAGTACATGGTACCACCTTCTTAATTAAACCTCTCTGGAAATACCCACAAAGCTCTACCCAGAGGTGTATCTCCTAGGTGATTCTAAACCCAGTCAAGTTGAAAATAAACTAGTTATGGAGGGTTGTGAGCCAACATGTAGATGCTAGAGGAACCACAAGTACTCTTAACCTCTGAAGCATCCTTCCTGGCCATTCTTTTAGGCATTCTTGTTATTATTCTGCCCCATTAAGCTGTGGAGTCTTTAGTGCTACAGACTGTCTTAGCCTTCCAGGTTCTAGTATAGTTTCTAGCAATTTTATACATGTTCAACAAGCGACTTATTCACATAGTCAACTAGCAATGATTAACATAATACTAGAAACAGTTGTCAATTCTTACTGTGTGCTTGCTTCATATCAAGCTCCTGTTGTACACTTTGCATGGATGGGCCTTTGAGGCACAAGTTGTTATTGTGCCTATTTTAAGAGAAACTAATGCATAGAAGATTCCAGTATCTTGTGTAAAGTCAAAATTGGGAAACAAAACCAGTGCTCTCCCATGATAGCATAGCATCAAGGATGGAAACTCAGCCTCTCATTGTCTTTGTAATATCTCTTGAAGGTGCCCGAGCCTCCCTTTTAACTGTCCACGCAACTATGAACTGAAAGAATTTCAGAAGTCATCTATTTCTTACCACGAGTGCATGTATTAAGTGAGCAAGCCTCATAGGTACCTGCTTGCTTTAGATCCCTCAGCTCTATAAGTAAGGAGATATTTTGGTTAAGAAAAGACTCAGCGCGTGTATAGGTACGAATGTCCAAGTGCTCTTTCCCAAGCGGATCCATAGCTTTGTGGGGAAATTTTTTTTTTAATTTTTCTTTTTTTAATATTAATTACAGTTTGTATACCAGCTGTAGCCCACTCCCTCATTCTGTCCCTCATCTCCCCCCGCCCCTTTCCAAGTCCACTGATAGGGGAGGTCCTCCTCCCCTTCCATCTGACCCTAGCTTATCAGGTATCTTCACAACTGGCTGCAAAGTCTTCCTCTGTGGCCTACCAAGGCTGCTCCTCCGGGGGGGGGGGGGTGCGGGAGGTATCAAAGAGCCAGCCATTGAGTTCATGTCAGAAATTGTCCCTGTTCCCCTTACTAGGGAAAACCCACTTGGATACTGAGCTACCATGGGCTACATCCGAGCAGGGGTTCTAGGTTATATACATGCATGGTGCTTGTTTGGAGAATTAGTCTCATAAAAGACCCCTGTGCCAAGATATATTTGGTCTTTGTGGAGCTGCTGTCCTCTCCAGGTCATACTAACTCCCCCTTCTTTCATATGATTTCCTGCACTCTGCTGAAGGTTTGGTTATGAGTCTCAGTATCTGCCTTGATACACTGCTAGGTAGAGTCTTTCAGAGGTTCTCTATGGTAGGCTCCTGTCCTGTTACTTGTTTTCTCCTACATCCAATGGTGGGATCTAGAGAAGATCATCCTGAGTGAGGTATCCCAGAAGGAGAAAGAAATACACGGTATATACTTACTTGTAAGTGGGTACTAGACCTATAAGATAGGATAAATATACTAAAATCTGTACACCTAAAGAAGATAAACAAAAAAGAGGACCCAGGATAAGATGATCAATCCTCACTTAGAAAGACGAATGGGATGGACATTGGATATAGGGGAAAATTGTTTTAATCGCTCGCTCATTCCTGTCTTTCAGAGTTCATTGTTTCCACTATCTCATCCCTCTGGCAAAGGAGGGGAACTATGCTATTGTTGCCAATGTGGAAAGTATGGATTATGACCCTCTGGTGGTCAAGCTCAACAAAGACATCAGTGCCATGGAAGAGGCCATGAGCGCCAGCCTCCAGCAGCACAAGTTCCAGTATATCTTTGAAGGTCAGACCTTACTGCTTGTGTCCAGGAGCTTGGGAGGGAAGATGGTAAAGATGGTCATGAGTTTCTATATTCTAAATGTTCAGAATGTTGTTCGCTAGTATGTCTGGATTAAAACTGTTGCACCTAGCTTCATGTATGAGTGGATAGATGGTGACTGCTCCCTGCTCCTGGCTGACAGGGAGATTTTTACCTATTCCTTGGCTTTTTCTTAGACTTGGGCAAATGTGCAGAGTGAACCACAGATCAACTTGAGAAGAGCTTATTTAAAGAAAGAAAGGAAGGAGAGAAAAAGAAAAGGTTCATAGCAACACAGACAGTGAGGGAGGAGCGCTGAGAAACCTGCTTTGGGCTGCGTAGTGCCTGGTGGGGGAAATTTCTCTCACAAAATGCATTACTCTCTGAAGTGAACAGACTCCTTGCTCTGCAATAACAAGGGCAGCTGCTACCATCAGTGCCTCTATCAGCTGTCTCCATCAGGAGGGCCATGGGAGACAGTATTACCTAGAGCTATTTGCCTTCAAACTTCTAAAAAAGATGGTGCCAGCCAGATAGTTCTTCATGCTGAATTCTACCATAGAACCTTTCCTCTATAATCCAGTACCTAAAACAACTAAGCTATGAAGAGAAAAGGTTTATTTTCCTGTATATGATAAAGAGGTTCCACTGCTTTTAAGTGAGTTAGGGTAGGTGAGGAGGCCAGAAGGCAGGGGCCAGGAGCTAATGACAGAACTGATGACCTTGTGTCCAGAGTGGTGAGTAAAGAGACCAATATCTCACACTGCTCCATCACCCCAGACCTCAGTCCTAAATGTCCCACCTCCTGCTGAGGACAACCAAAAGAACCAGGCCCTTAGCACAAATCCTCTGGTACACAGTCCTTCAAATTGTCTCTGCAGGGCTTCCAATTTTATCCCTTTTGATTTGTTTTTCAAAGTATGGGCCTGGATATTAGAAGTTGTCACCATCTTCACAGAGAACAGGACAGTTAAGAAAGTGCAGTGCCTAAAGACTGTGACAAGCTACAGATGACAAGATATCAGTGCATGGCCGTTGCTGGCTTTATGAGCATAGCAGTTTTGCAGTCCTTGCCCCAGAAAAGGTGAAATCCCGGTTTACTATGAAATTCTTAAAATGGAGCCAGGAAGAAGATTGTACCAAAAGATGCAAGTAATTGTGACATTAGCTAGCCTTGTGACACTGGACTTGAGTCGTCTGCAGCTTCAAACCACTGTGTCCATCAGAGCCTCTGCCACTGTTCTCTTTCCACACAGAGCTTTCTCTTTGTTCCTGCTGTGGCTCATCCAAGCCCTACATCTCCACTGTGGTCTGTTTATGTGCTTGAGTTTATTTAATTATATTTTAAGTTATTAATATTTTATTTCTTAAAAATAAGACACACCCCTTCATCACCTACACTTTATCACACCATATTTTACTATGGCCAACCAGACTTTAACCTGGAATGTTTTCTAGCTTAAATGTCAGGTCCATGTTGTGTTTATTTTTCTTGGAGCCCAAATCTCTTTCTTCACTGTAAATAGCATAAACAAATCTGTGGTCTTGAAGGAATGTTGGTTGAGGATAGCTAAAGCAAGAGAATACCTTGTCCCTGGCCTCTTCTACTTTGGTCACAGCCAAGGAAAAACTCACTGTGGAGCTTGAGGAAGCCATGGAACCTGCAATGGGCACTGTTTGCTGCTCTGAGTCTAGCTGCCATGAGGGACTCAGACCGTAGGAAGGCAGGATAGCAATGATGGTGAACTCGCAGTGGCGGCTCTTGAGTTCTGAGGAGAATATCCTGCTACAGGCCAGCTCTGCAGAAATGGGACAATCTAAAGAACATTTAAAATTAAGTTCACCTTTTAAAGGTATTTACCTATAACTACTGTAGGTTGTATTAAACCATCATTCCTCAGTATGGCTATCCAAAAGGAGTCCTGGGGCTAGAAAGATGGCTTAGCTGTTAAAGGCTATTTTCACAACTAAAAAGACAACAGGAATTCTTCTAGTTTATTTATGTCCTCAGATAATACTACCAAATTTTATGGCAGTCCTTAAAGGCTGGAAATTTGGCTCAGTTGGGAGAGCAGTTGGCCTAGTGTGCACAGAAAGCCTTAGGTCAATCCCCAGCATAAATAAACCTGCCCAGCATGGTAGCACAAGCCTGTAATACCAGCATTTGAGAGATGGAGGCAGGAGGGTCAGAGTTTGAGGCCAGTCTGAAATATGAGACCTGTTTCAATATAAATATATCAACCAAACAAAAACAAGATTAATAGGATAATCCTTCAAATGTAAGAACAAACTATTTTCAGTACAGATATCTATAGATATCTCCTGGGAATTGAACCATGAACTGACAGTCTAAAGAGAAAAATGCTGTTTCTTTCTGTTATTATGTTACACTTCACCCCATTGTTAATGCTGAGATCTATTATCATTGTTTCCAGGAGCCCATATTTTATTGATTTTTTTTTAGCAATTTGAAGTTTAAATATTAGCATTATTGTTGTTGTTTATCTTTACAGTCCTTTATTTCTTTTTGTACATTAGGCCATGAATTTGTATGGAATGGGCTCCAGCAGCTCAGGCTCCTTCCCATTAGTCCTCACAAAGTATGCTGCTCTGGGTGGCACAAGCTGGCATTTGTTTGAACCCAGGTGCCATTCTCTTTGGCTTCCTCTTTCTTCTAACCACTTCCTTCCATCGCGTCAAGAAGCTGTTTGGCTCAATACACACATTGAGTCTCTTGGCAAGAATCTTGCCTTTAACTTCCTTGTTCACAGTTATGGATATGGCATGCTAGGTAATGGTGTAGACTCTTTCAGTTTTGCATTGGTAACACTTATGGAGCATTCCTTTTGAACAATGTCCATTCCTTTGATGTCTACAGTATGACTCTTCTTGTAGATTTGCATGTGTGTGGCCAAAGGAACTACTCCATGTTTCCTAAAAAGCCTAGAGAACATATAGCAACTTTTCCTCCACTTTCCCTTTGTGTCTATCATTTTTGTGAATTACTGGAAGATCATTAATTCATGGAAAGCTAAATATTAACATTATTGTTCATAATGTTCAAAATGTGTATTCGCTTCTGTTTCATGACTAGGAAAGGAAACCAAACAGATCACTGTGTGTATTTGTGTTTCTTTTCTGGTCTCCAAATATCTGCACATACAGTAGGGTTTCCTTTCCATGTTTATAGCTTCTAGCACCCTGGCTTATTCTTGAAGCTGTATGGATGGTGGCTTTAGATGATTGTGACAGTGCTGGGTTGTGAATATGCCAAGTTTTCCCATTTGTAACTTCTAAAACAGTGTCGAAATATTCTAAAGTAATTGTAGAATTAGCTGTTTTCCTGAGGCATTTAAACCTATAGAGGATGAAAAATAATTATCTTACATATACGTCTAAGCCAGTTGCCATTAACGTATCTTTTCTTCTCTCCTTACTACACTGTGCTGACCCCTCAGGTCTAGGACACCTTATCTCCTGCATCCTCATTAATGGAGCCCAGTACTTCCGGCGCATCAGTGAGTCCGGCATCAAGAAAATGTGTAGGAACATTTTTGTACTTCAGCAGAATTTGACCAACATCACCATGTCACGGGAGGCAGACTTGGACTTTGCAAGGTATATAGGACTGTTGGGCTAGGTTTCTCCTACCAAAGCTCGTTGCCTGTAATGAGCTGCTTTTAACTAAAAATCAAAGAGTCAAACAAGAACAACTTATCTTTGAAAAAGAAAGATGGCTAGAGAAATAGTTCGGCAGTTAAAGTATCTGTGATGCAAGCAAAAGGACCAGAGTTCAAACTCTCAGAATCCATGTAGATGCCATGTGAGTGGGTGTGGCAGCTCCTCTGTGATGCCATCATTGGCAGGAAGAAACTTAAGACTCCCCAGATGAGGCCTGGGTTTTATTAGGAGATGTGCCTCCCTGAGTAAGGTAAATGAATGAGAAGAGGGTATCTGACATCAACCTCAGGCCTCCACATGTGAGCATACATACATGCAAACGTGCATACTCATATGCATTCTTATCAAACACTCATACATGAAAAGAAGGGAAGAAGAATAAAGGAAGGCAGTATTCTTAAGTGTCAGAAACTGTAATTCTATAAAACTCTAATTAAAGTTGAACATCCCCACTGTCTAACCTAGGTTGTTTATTTTTTACAATATTCTTTACACTTATTTTGTGGCCAGGGAGGGGGGAATAGGGTGGGAGGAGTGCACGCTGTAGAGTGTGTGTGGAAATAGATCAGAGATTGGAGAACTACTGGGGTTCTGCTTCCACCACATAGGTTCTAGGATTGAACCGGGTCATCAGTCTTGGTGACAAGTATCTTTACCTGCTGAGCTACCTCACTGGCCTCAAACATAAATTCTTCATGCTATAAAGCATTGGTGACCTTTTTTTGAGTAAAGGAGTAATATATGCACATTTCACAAGATCTATAAGGTGGTGAACCATTAGCCTACAGACAGTGGGTGATACATGTTCTACCCTCTGGCTTTGAGTACCTATGCTGTATGTATTTGACTTCCCAAACATACATATGCACATTTCTCCTTCTACAAAATTGAAACTATGGTAATGTAACTTAAAATGCATTCATTACATTTTGCAATATCAGTAATAATCTTTGAGAACATGATTTTTCAGACACTCACTCACACTTATAGAAAATTTTACTTTCAATAACTGAACAAATCCATGGTATAGAGTAACAGAATTTTATTTTTTAATCACTTTGGATGTCAGCATTTTTACATTTTGTTTCTCTCATGGTAAACAAGTACTGAATTTACTGTTACGTGCCTGTTCTGACACTGTTTCTGCTTTGACCCAATTGAAACCTGTCCAGTCTACTTCCCACTGGGAGAGGAGTCATTGCCCCTTATTTCTCAAGGTTTGCTCATCTCGATTCTTAATGTTTCCTGTTAAGATGCTTTTTCAAATGGGTTAATTCTGTTTTACTCCACTTGGTCTCCGTATTGTTAAAAAATCAAACTCTTGGTGCTTTACTGACAGTTCAAACTGTTTTGTAGAACATGGATGACAGTATGTTAGCAGCTCCTCCCCCCTTCCCCATGCTGCTACTTACAGATAGGTGAATTAGTCCACAAACTTCATTTCCAAGTGACTTTTTTAGCTCAGAAAATGCTTGTTTTTAGTAATTCACAATGTTTCTGCCCATTTGTTACTACTGTTTCTTTACATTTGACTTTTAGATTCCTTTAGAAGTTCTGGAAAAATTAAATAGTTTTTGGGTATTTAAGAGAATATACAGTACCATGTAATTTTGACTAAGATTATGACATCTGTGCTGGCGTCTTTGAATTGAAAATGGCCCACATGTATTGTTTTTAACTTTTCTTCTCTGATCTGTTGTTTTGCTACCCATTTGCTTCTCTGTCCTTCTCTCTTCCCTATATTTTTCTACTGTTTACAGGAAAAGAGTGATGTGGTGTGTGTGTGTGTGTGTGTGTGTGTGTGTGTGTGTGTGTGTGTGTGTTTTCATTAAATTCCATGTTTTAGGATAAATTTGGTGGAAGGCTCCCTTGTTCAGATTAGGGAAACCAGGTGTGACTGAATGCTGTATTTATTTGGCCACTCTTAGGGGAAATGATCTCATTATTGAATTAGTCTATCCATAATAACATTGACAAGGGGAAGTTAAGAACATGGAGGCCTCAGGGATACAAAAGAGCCATTACTAATTCTCTGAGGACTATAATTCCAAAATTCAATCATCGTTTTTTAAATGATTTTTTTTTATTTAGCTGAAATAAGTAAATTAACACAGTACTTGGCAGACAGTATGGGGCCCAAATACATGCTAGGAAGAAAAAAAAACAGCGTCTGCATCATGAGGCTCTGATGGGGTAGCCCTGAGATTGGCATCAGTTCCAGTGAAGGGTTCTGCAGGGCATTACTGAATATCAACTCAGTTATGCCTTTCACAATTGGGTTTCTGAAGCATGTCCAAGGAGTAAGTAAAAGGTGTTACCCCCATTCTAGAATGGGTTTTGCAGGCTAGTGTGAAGAGACAGCACAGGAGGGTGCTGTACTCTGGGTCCTGGTTCAGACAGCATCTCTCCTTACTAAATGGGGAGCTTCACACTGTTTCCTCTGTGCTTAGAACAGAGGAAATGATCAGTAGAGGTGGTGAGAAACTGCATCGATGCTGAATCAAGGCTGATGAAGAGTTTGCAAAATGACCAGTTAGGCGCTCTGCCCTGAAAGTTTTAATCAGCAAGTATAGACAATTTTCTATCCACTCATAAGAACCAAGAGTATCTCTCAATGTTGTAAAGCAGAAGATATCAAAAATAGTAGCATAGCCCTGCCAGACCATGGTCTCTTTCTTTCTCATTTGCTCTTGTTTTCATGTGGACATATTTTATAGCCTTTTTCCCCCTCCTTTTTAAAGTGGGGGCTAGTTTTCTGATATGGTCTTCATGAATTCTTGTGTAAAATAAATACCAAAACAGCCCGAACTAACAGGCTGCAGCAGTGTGCCTCAGCATTCCTCAAGCAGTGTCTAATCAAGCGTGGACAGCGGCATCTGTATTTGCAGTGAATCACTATAGAAATGTTATCTTCTAACAAGTAATTAATCACCAGTCGCTGTGTGTCAAAAAACTGACTTAACAAGAAGTTATACAGCATTTGTAGGTTTTTTTCTGCCACTGCATTCCTGGCCAGTCAAAAATACAGCACCTTTCTGTAATAAGGGATGCGCAACGATTCTGCTTCTGTTGACTCTCCTGCCCAGGGCATCTTTACACACTGCACTCTAATCCACAGAGGTAGATTAGGTGAGCAGAGAACCAAGACAACCTGAACATTACCAGGACTGCTGAGAGCTCTGTCCTCCATGGTGGTGATCACTTAAATTTTGCTGTAGTTTTGACTCTTTATCCCACTGTTTAATCCAAAAGATCCCCTGCCCAAGAAAATCATAGCAGATTAACTAAAGAGGTTTGGGCTCTCTAAGTGTGTCTGTAATGTCTGTCATTCCATCCATCAAAGCTCATCTAAACCTGAGCTGCCATGTTCATTTACAGAAATAAGTCAGCAAAGCTACCATGGATTCCATGTGGCAGGAAGAGGCTACGGCACAAGTGTAATGAGGTGTATAATAGGATTATCCAACAGTCTTTGCAGATGAGGCAAAGCCCTTTTTCAAAAAAAAATATGCCAATTTTTTTCCCAGTTATTCTTCGCTTTCTCAAGTCTTCCTTTTGTGGGGGTTAGAATGTTTGAGTTTGGATTTGGGTTTTGTTGGGGTTTTTTGTTTTGTTTTGTTTTAAGGTTATTTTGGGATTTTTCTGTTCTTTGGCTTTTGTTTTTGGTTGGTTGGTTGTTGCTTTACCAAGACAGGGTTTCTTTGTGTAGCGTTGGCTGTCCTGGACTTACCTTTTAGACCAGGCTGGCCTCAAACTCATAGAGATCTGCCTGCCTCTGCCTTCCAGAGTGCTGGGATTACAGACATACACTAAGATTACAGCTCCAAGTGCTGATTTTAAGGTACAGCTGTTAAGCCTGTCAATTTGTTGTTGTTGTTGTTGTTCTGTATATCCCATACTGCTTTGTTTCTCATTTGTAGATATGGCTCTTTGTAGATATGGCTCCCCCCACCACAATGCACATTTTGCATTTCTTTAAACAAATATCTTCATTTAAACCTCTCAAAGATAAGGAAATGAAAGCTGAAGTTCAAGAAGCATCAAGGAGACCAATCCTAAAATGGAAAACAGAATATTTCTTTACACTATTATTCCTTTTGTCAATGAACAGATTTTTTTTTGAAGTGTATCCTCTTTCTTGGTCCTCCTTGGTGGACCTTGCATTGTTAGGAGAAAGAGTACAAACTAATGGACAGGTAAGATGTGAGGTACTTCAGGTGATGTGAGTGTGTCAGTTCTGATGAAACTGCAAATATGAATTTACATTGTTATGAGGCAAAATACAAACTAGTAGGTAAAATGGAAAGCATGTCAGTTTTTCAAACTTACTACAAAGAAAAACTAAGCTTAAAAATGAAAATTGAGAGTGACAGGGTATAATTTCAATTTTCATGAGAGTCCTTAATGAGATGAGAATATTTAAGGGGGAGAGGGCACCTATAGGAAAACTGGGAACAAGCCTTCAGTATAGCTAAGGAAAGACCATACCAGGAAAAAGGACTCTAAGGATGAAAACCCAGAGAGGAGTATGCTTGACTATGAAAGCTGTAAAAAGGTAGGTATGGATAAAATAAGCAAGAAGAGTAAGACCATAAATGTATTCAAAGGAGCTGAGATCTTGAATGCCATTATAAGGACCTTGACTTTTATTTAGAAAGAAGTAGAAAACTACTAACATTGGAGGAAGAAAAATACCACAATCTGAATGTTCCTGTCTGCTCTGATGATAATCGGAGGACTAAGGAGGAGAAGTTGAAGGCCAGCACATAAGCAGAAGGATCCATTAGAAAATAGCAATAGTCATTCTCTAGGTAAACAGTGGTGACCCAGACCAATCAGCACTGGGAAAATGAGAAGTTGGTTTGGGCTAGATTATAATAATCAAGCTGACAGAATGTACCAGTGATTATTTTCTTCTCAGCAATTCAAAGCATGAG